ATAATCTTCTACAGTTTAGCAGTAACTGAGAAGGTATCCAAAAGACCCGCCTCTTTTTTGTTTCAATAACTTTCACTACAACATCACAGACTGAAGTTTTGGGTACTTCCAAGTCTATTGTTGCCAAGCCCTAGTAACACATAAACAATATTTCAAAATGAATAACAACTGCAAAATGTTTAAACAAATATAATATTCTCAAAAGTGAGATATGATGTGAATATATAAGAAAATATATTGATACGATTAGTTTATTACTTCAGACTCGTCCTTAGAAAAGCTACAGAAAGGAGATAGGAAATTTACAGACGTTATATTAGAATTGATGGATTTTATAATTACTGCATCTTTTTCTTTCTCTCAGCAAACAATGTGCACACTTAAAAAAGTTATTAGTATTAGCTGTGTCAGTTTCTTCAATTGCTCATAAATATGAGGTGGTTTGTTTCCTTTCATAAAAGTTATAATTTTCCTAAATGAAAACGTATTCCACAACCCTTGATCCTCCCTCTGTTGGAACCTGTCTCATGCAAATCATCATGCGCTACCTCTCCACTAACAGGAGAGCACTACTATCACGTGACGCATGAGATTACCTCTACGCGCCACTACCAAACTATCACTTCGAAGTTTGCCAGAAGAGGTCTACTAGAACCTGACCCTCCCAGGTCGTAAAACGACCTAAATTCCGACCAGGAGAGAGAGAGAGAGAGAAGATGCGAGCATCGGAAGATTGTGGGAACAATGGTTGAGAAGTGTAAGTGGAGAGGAGTACCTATCAGAAATACATTTTCATTTAGGAAAATCATAAAAAAGTTTCAGAAAAAGTTCGCATATAGAGAGCAGCACAAAACGTGAAAAGCTAATCTTGTGAGCGGAGGGAGAGTATTTTATCAGAAACTGTGGTTACAAACGTATATGGAAGAATTGTGTATTTTCACTTTAAAAACATCAAGGTTAACTTCAACTGGACCAGTGAGCAACTCTCACATGTAAAGTACACACCTCTGTATCTAATTATTTACTGAAAAGATGCCATATTTAATAGTTATAAATTGATCCCGACCAAGAATACTGTTACCTAACCCAAACTGTCACCATGTGACAGATCAGGTCGTAGGTCAAAGACAAACCCTTATCAGCTTTACCATGTTTTTTTACTAAGAATACTGTTACCTAACCCAAACTGTCACCATGTGACAGATCAGGTCGTAGGTCAAAGACACACCCTTATCACCTTTACCATGTTTTTTTACCAAGAATACTGTTACCTAACCTAAACTGTTACCATGTGATAGATCAGGTCATTGGTCAAAGACAAACCCTTAGCAGCCTTAACATGTTTTTTACAACTTATAACAGAAAATGGTGACCTACTACAATTGACAAATTAATGTATCAAATGAAATATTAAACTAATGAATATCAATCTAGTTGAAACTGACTCAATTAGAATTTATTTATTTTTTCTGTTGATCGCAGGGTTTAATTTTGTATCCACCAGTTGCTCGTTATGTAGAAACAATGTGGTTAGATTAATGTTTAGAATAAAACAAAGCAGGATCTTTAACTTGGATTTTTAACATAAGCTAATAACTTGAGTGATCATTCCATCAGTTGCTCATTATGTAGAAACAATGTGGTTAGATTAATGTTTAGAATAAAACAAAGCAGGATCTTTAACTTGGATTTTTAACGTAAGCTAATAAATTTAGGAAATCAGAATTTTATTACTTTTATTACTTCTACAAAAGTAGTTAACCTTTAAACTTGTGGTTAAAACATTTATAAGCTAAGTAGACAAACTACTGTGGAACAACTTGGTTGTAAAAATATATTATTATTGTTATGTCTCTGGCCGTTAGTTAATTTCCTGTATAATTTCTTTCCGATGAAACTTTAGCGACACAAGACCTTTCTTAAATAAAACTAGTTTATTCTTTCTCAATACAACTTTGCAATACACTTAATTTCCACAGTCACGCTATAACGAATGCTATAATTCACAACGTACGACTCAATCGTCAGTCTCTCTCTGTCTGCAGTTCAATTACATTGTTGCCGTCAGTTCTTGGCAGTATTATATACAAGAATACCGTACATCTAGTAAACACTCGAGCCTTCACGAACCTTCAAGAATATGACGTGTTACTAGCATCACGTGACCTCCGCTGTCGTAACATTATTAAAAACTTTCATTGTAGGTAAAACTGTGGGAGTGATGATGCTTTTCTCTACTCAACATCACTGTAAGAATAAAAGTACATCTAAAATGTTATGTAACGTTTCTCTAAAGGGAAATATTTGACACTTGTATGTTAAACATTAAAAATATAACCCATTCTTGTCTTGAGGTAAAACTAAACAATGAGAATCCACTACCAGCAAGTATATCTATTTATTTTATTTTTTTTATTTGAGTTTATTATAATTATATATCAGCATTGACTTCTTTTTATGGGAAAAAAAAAAGATAGTTTATCAATATTATCTTTTATTTTTCTTTCCAATATTGTCCCCCAGTGTGACAAAGGTAAGATTACAGACTTACAGTGCTAAAATCTGGGGTTTGATTCCCTGCAGTGAATGCAGCAGATAGCCCAATGTGGATTTGCTCTAAAACACACAAAGTTTTCCCATATTGAACTAATCAATAATTTGTTTCTAATGTAACAGTTTTATTCAGTTATATTTAATGATCAGTTAAATTAATTAGTACAAGACTGGTGTCGGTTTTATTGTGCTTTGCTTTTCCGTTGGTGAACTACTACTTGTACAAAAATTGCTAAAAAAAAAGTTAAAATGGGGTAGCTTGAAACACAAAATATAATAAATATCAAGATACATTTAATATGAGATTTGAATTGGGGAGAAACTGAGCAAATATGTATCCCAGCTTTGTGTTTTACGATGTTATCCCAGCATTTTAAAGTACGATCCTGAAAAGAAATACACACTTAAAATCCCTCCCTTCTAGAGGAACCAAAACATAGTTTCTTAAAACTCTTCTCATTATTATTATTTTTTTTAAATTAATGATGTGCCATTCTTGTTGGTTCAAAGGTTAATATATTTTCATCAGTAGGTATCTTAATACAAAGATAAAGTATTAGTACTTTGACCCTTTCTGGACTGGAATTTTTTTCCTTCTCACAGTGGAAATACTTAACCAAATTATGGTAATTAAAGTGCTCGACTCACAAGTTGAGGGTCGTGGGTTTGAATCCTTGTTTTTAAAAAAATTCAAAATAATTTTATTTAATGATCACTCACCACAGCACTTTGCGACAACATACTAGAGCAACTGATGTAATGATCACTCACCACAGCACTTTGCGACAACATACTAGAGCAACTGATGTAATGATCACTCACCACAGCACTTTGCGACAACATACTAGAGAAGATAATTTATTGTAGCTGTAGTTTTATATTCAATCAAAATACTAGGTGATTATTCATGGAAATTGTTTGCCAATTACTTCAAAACAGAGTAACATTATAAAAATATTATATAAATGTGAAAATTATATACTTTTAAAAAGTCGTTTTATTACATATTCGTCCCGAGATATTTATTAATGTATAGATTATTGTTCTTTTAAAAAAAATAGTTATGTACAGATTAAAGAAAATATATTTATTCCAGCAGGATTTAAAATAAATAATTTTAGTAGATAATGCACAAACATTATTGTCATTTAAAGCTTAATTATTAACTTTATGAAATTAATATACTTAAATTTTATGTTACTTGTGAGAGAGTGTTTGAACTGTGAAAATATAGAAGGTTTATTTGAAGTAATGAAATGAATTACTATTATCTTTTAAGTTAATTTTGGAATAAAATTAATTACTGATTCGACATTTCAACTGTTCAGATGTATGTCGTGAGATGCACTGATTAATTAATGTAATTAACCCAGAGGAGCTAAATGCTGTTGATAATTTAATTATTATTGTTATTGTCAGTAATAATTATAAGAAAAGTTACATGGTATTTCACTGTATTTTAGGTTGATAAAAGAATTCAAAAAATGAATAATTGTAATTGAATTTCTGTAGTGCATATTGGTGTATAGAAGACATATTAATACTATAAATAAATGACCTTATAACACCAAAATGTTGTTTTTATTTATTTACGCACTCAACTTTTTGGTTTACAGCTTCTTCAGGAGCATTTACTAAACACAAACTGAAACTGACAGTACTAAGCTTCAAAATTAATCTTTGAGTCTATAATTAAATAAAAAAACAAAATTTTGGTGTTATGAAGTTGTTTATTAATGAATAAATATTGTTTTTCTGAAATGGTACATATCAGTAGCTTCCAAGAAATATGAGTGTTTCTATCTAGGTGTAGCTTAAATTTTTGGTTTTGGAAGATTGTGTATTAATGTACAGCTTATAAATTGTTTGTGGCTTGTATTTCTCAATAATGACTTGTTTACTAGCTGAGACTGTAATATGTTATTTTAGAATTATTTCGCATTAATATATAGTTTGTGAGCTAGCTGTTTAAAAATTTTTCTTTGAAAGATTTCATACAGATGTGTATTTTGTACGATTTCATCAACCTCCTGTGTTAGAAGATTATTAAAAGTAGACAGTTTTATGGTAAGCAGCTCTATTTAAATAAGTGCCAGGTTTATCATTTAACAAGCTGCTTACTTTATATGTGTTTTTGATCCTATAGGAAATGCTGGAACAAAGTTTGAAAACTGTGCAAGGAAAACTGGGTGAAGTGGGCAGAGACAACCCAGTGGGCGTAGAGAAACTAAGAAAACAACAACGTTTGATCGAAAAAGAACTGTCGCACATCTATAGTATGTTGTCGCAAAGTGCTGTGGTGAGTGATCATTCCATCAGTTGCTCTAGTATGTTGTCGCAAAGTGCTGTGGTGAGTGATCATTCATCAGTTGCACATAAATATACCCTTAACTTGTATTCTGCACAACTTCAAAATTTGAACTGTCTTTTAGCAGTCTAAAAAAAGGTAGAATTAAAAAAAAGGACTTACTAATTTATTATTGAACTTTGATTAGTTCACTATTTTTCTTCAGGAGAGTTTTGGGTCTCATTTGAAAACCATTAGCTATGTATTTTTCTGATTAAGAAGTTAGCACACAGGATCACACACAAAAGTTGTAATGGTTTTCAAATGAGACCCAAAACTCGAGCGCTTTAGAATAGTTCACTATTTTTCTTCAGGAGAGTTTTGGGTCTCATTTGAAAACCATTAGCTATGTATTTTTGTTATTAATAAATCGTTTGATTTAAGTATTTACATTTAGTAGCTGTGGATTTTAAGTTGTGTTTAACAGGATGTTACATAAAATGAAGGATGTTTCTTTTACTTAAGAAACATCTAAAGCTTTAATTAATACTTTACAAATATCTGATTTAATTTTACCTTGTTATGTGGTTTTAGTGCAGTATCGTACTCTTGGTCTAATAATTTTTTTAGTTTTCAGTGCAATATTAAAATATTTTCTGAAGATGTAAACTTAAATTGTTTTTCTCTCTCTCAACTCACTCAAGGCAGAACATAGCAATATGAAAACATACTTTTTTGCTGTTGAGTCTCGGGAGGTAATGATACAGTGGATGAATGCTCTTTGTCTGGCTACCATCATGCAGACGTTCACTCGGTAAGTATTGTATTCACCATCCGATATAAGAAGAAAAAAAAAGTGTGTGGAGCTGGTATTGCACCTTTCAAAATCTTGTGAATAATGCAAGACTTAACGTTTTGTGGTTCTGCTGTGATAAAAAAACAGATCTGCTCCTATGTTTTGAGAGGTGATAATATAATAATTAAAAGAGACTGAATTTGTGAACAAGTAAAAATACTATATTGAAAAATATTTTGTGTGTGTGTTCAACTGACCTTTCACAATTTCTAAAAGTTTATGCAAAGATACTTGTAGTACATTCAGAATTATAGTAATTATTAATTCTCCATTAAAGGGTTGGTCGAATAGATCAACTCCGTGCACATAGGGTTAAAGAAACTATTTCTTGAAGTGAAAAAATATGTTCCACAAATGGTTGAAACATTGCTGCTTTAAAAATTCTGTTTATTTTGTGCTAATATATAAAAAAAAATGTTTTTAGATTTAGCAGAACTCTTAAAGAATGAAAACGTGTATCTGAACATACTGTTGGGGGGGGGCTCGCCTTGCAATCTGAGGGTTGTGGGTTTGAATCGCTGTCCCACCAAATATGCTAGCTCTTTCACCCATGGCGGTGTTATAATGTTATGGTCAATCTCACTATTCGTTGGTAAAAGAGTAGCCCAAGACTTGGCAGTTGTTGATGATGACTAGCTGCCTTCCCTCTAGCCTTTCACTGCTAAACTAGGGATAGCTAGTGCAGATAGCCCTTGTGTAGCTTTGCACAAAATTAAAAAAACAAGCAAACTGAACATTGTACTATGTAACATACAGTTATTTATTAACGTAAGGTCTCATGTTTCTTCCAGAAGTCATCACAGCACTGATCAGCTGAGTGTACCACCTACACCAGGGTTGGATGAAGAAGATTCAGGATTTGTGTCCTATCAGTCTCGAAAGCATCACGACCGAGATGACCCACGAGCAACTTTGGACAGTAGCTTTGCCTCGGCTCAGTCAACACTGGATTTTTCCAGAGACATAGATGGAAATATTGTTACCAACGATGGTGCCAGTGATAGTGGTTTTGTAAGTAGCCATTACGGTAGTCAGTCAGGTATTCCGTATACCGTTTATACCAGAGGAAGAACAGGGCAAATTTATTATGCAGCTGCCCCACCAAAGCCAAAGCGACTTCATGCCAGCTACACGATACTTCCTCAATGTGTCCCTGACCTGGTACCACCTCAGGAAATAAATCTTGGAAGGGGCAAGTTTGTGCCATTACGTGATTATGAAAGTTTTTATGAACTTGAAAAGAATGAGATAAGTTCTAGAAAGTATGACAACTGGAAAGGTAATTATAATAATTGGACTTCAGAGGGTGGTAAATATCACCAACCACAACCTCAACTTTATCTACCCATGTCAGCAGCATTGAAAAAGACCCCTGGGTCACAGTCTAGGCTACAGTCTGAGCGAGACTATGAAAATGCAGCTATTTACAGAGATTCTGTAGAGCCAGTTAGTAGCATCCCTCGACAACCACCACTTATAAGAAGACATTCTGATATCTTTGGGGATAGCATGACAGGGTATGATCAACAGGTACAAGAAATGCCAATCACAAGTGGAGGTACCAACCATCCTTCTGAATCACAAACTAGAGTAGAAAAGTTTAATCAGGACACGTACGATAGAGAGGCCAGAGATCCAGCATGTGTCTATGATGTCTGTGATAGTAGGATTTTAGGAAACATGGCAGGCAACACCTATCATAGGACTAAAACTGAATCTAACTACCAAGCTAATCCAAATTTGAAGGGTCACCAGTACCAAAATCAGGTTATTGGATCATTGTATCAAGGAAGTGGAAATAACTCCGAACAGCAAGTTCTTAACAGGCAAGTACGTGAAGCAGACAACTCTCGAGGCATTGTTTCTGCTCGTCCCGTATTTATCAATGAAAATATCTATGTGCCTTTTGATGCCGACCATAAAGAATCAAGTGTTTCGGTATCTCAGCATGGCACTGGTAGCTCTAATGGACAAGAAAGCCAAAGTAAATATCTGCATGAAGAATCTATGAAAAGGCTTTTAGAATGGAAAGAGAGAATGCTGCTTTCTCCAGTAGCTAAAAGCAATAACCTCGAAGAAACCAAAAATGTTGAGCCAGCTGCATCTAGTGGTTCTCCAGGAATGCCACCTCCAAGACCTCCTCTTCCAGAAGAGTACTGTCATGAAATGCTCCAAAATTTGGAACTACATGAAATACAGCAGACATTGCAAGAACTACAGCTACAAAGTAATGGGATTAAGACAGCAGTGTCTCCAGCTCAATTTCCAGCACCGAAGCTCGATGATAATACTCTGGCTTCTGATATAACTCGTAAACCTAGAAGACTTTCATATGGTGAGGTAGAGCTTCAAATTCATCGTCACATGAGAAAAGCCATTGGAGGAAGACGAGACAATGACAAAAGTCAGAAGTCAAGCAGGACACCTTACAGGTCAAATGGTAAAATTAAATCGGCATTTTTTACAGAATGTACTAGAATAAAGAACTCCTGAGTAACCTTTATTTTTTTGTCTCTGAGTTTGGTCTATTTTATGCATTCATACATCCATAGAAATCTTGCCAAAGTTAAGACCTCAAAGCTTTGTTATGTTTCTATAGATATTAATGTTGTAATGTTAAGATTGAAAAGCCAAATTAAATCAGTTAATTAGATGTAAATGTTAAAGTGTTAAAATCCAAAAATTTGTTGAATGATTTCATTAGATGTTAGTGTTAAAATTGAAAAGCTAGTTTGATAGGTTTGTCATATGTTAATTGTTTTAAAAATTTAAAACTGGTTTAATTTTTTTTTTTTAATTTAGTGTTGCATTGTTAAAATTCCAAAAACTGGACTGGTGTCTTGGCTTTAATGCAAGATATTTTTTTAATCTTTTTTTTATGCACTACTTTATTTTCTAGAACATTACCGATCAACATCTGCGTTAAATAGACTTGCTACTAGCTATTCATCCGATGATGAAGGTAAGAACAGCGATGTAAGAAAATTGGAATTAATCATGAATATCAGTTTCCAATAATTAGGCTAAAAATAACCTGAATGTTGTTTTTGTAGATTTTTTCTTTAAGGTTTATTTTAAGTATTTAAGCTTCATACGATTGTTTAATTACAATGTTTTGTAGAAAGTTTGAAGGAAAAATACATATAACTTGTTTTACAGATACACAAAAGGTAAAAATGTGTCCTTATGTTGTATTAAAATTTTCTGCTTTAAACACTAGTATGTATAATTCAATGTTTAGTAAAATTTACTATGCAAAGTTCTGTAAATGTTCTCAAGAAGTGTTTAATGACCCTACTTGTAAAAATTTGATAAGTGTGATGTGACGGACAAACCTATCTACTTTGAATTTACATGTAACGTACTTGTAGCATAATGTATGGTTCTTTAAAACTGGACTGGAATATTTTATGTAATTCATTATCAAAATGTGTTTCACCATTTTAAGGATAAACAAAGATATTCCCAGAAAAGTTACTTTTTGGGGAGATAATACGGTATATTTGGATGCACTTAAATACATCTTTTATTTCACCCGTGTTTTTCAAGGATTAGTTGCTTTCATTGTAAAATTCCTTAATTAGGAAAGTTTAAAACAACGTAATATTTTCTACTGTGCTCCTTTCATGTGATTTAAATCAGCATGTCTAAGCCTTGACTTAGTGTACATATTTGTACTGAGGAGGGAAAATAAAAAAACTCTTATCAGAATACAATATTTTGTTTAAATTGATTTAGAGTTTTCATTATCGAAACTTTCATTGATATATGAAATCGCTTTATTGACTGATCAGAATCACCTTCAAGTTCAAGTAATATCCGAGGGAATTATAGGCCAAAGGTTCGGAGAGCCAGCTGGAGAGGCAAGAGCTCAAGTCACCACAAAGCTATTGGAAGAGTGAGCATGTCAGATTCTGAACTACACGTTCATCGGGTAAGTAATTGTGTTGTAGAAAAACAACACTTTCAGTATTGAATCTTCTTTATCTTATGTTATGAACCTGATGGAAGAGTGAGCATGTCAGATTCTGAACTACACGTTCATCGGGTAAGTAATTGTGTTGTAGAAAAACAACACTTTCAGTATTGAATCTTCTTTATCTTATTTTATGAACCTGATGGATCTGCTTGAATATCATCGTAGGATAGTAAACTGCTGTTCATCTCAGGATTTTGATGGCTTGAATTACTGATAGGAAAAGTCAACTTCTTGTTAGACTTCTCATATTGTAGTTAAGTATGATACACCGTACCTTATCTCTGCAGATTTTATCTCTCAGGAAACCGATGAATAATACTTACATGTACATATATTTATATGTAACAAGACTGTTTTTATATTTACAATATAGTCACATTTACTAGTACATGTTTGGTGTTTACGCGTAACTTTCGTTATTACTCTGTTTCAGAAAGCTTTTAAGTGTTTGTGCTCACCTTGATATACTTTAGAACTTAGTTTGAAGTATTTGTGTAGATAATATTTTAATCTCTTTGTTTGTTTACCTGTTTACTTACAGTCTTCAACGATATGCAGATTATTACAGTATTCATCAGGTCTCACTTCCAAACATAAAAACATCAGTGTTTCAGCCGGGGGGATGTTGGAAAAATCTGTAAGAATTTATATCATGAATCTTCTTACCTAATAATGTAGCTTTGATGTTTTTTTTTAGATAACATGTATGTAATAAACTTTGAAAGATAAACAGACTGGATTTGATAGCTTTAGTCGATCCATAATGAACTTCTGTTTGTATATTTGTTGTTTCTGTATTTACAATAAAATCTGATCATGATATACATGTTGAGCTGTATCATGTTTTTTATAATGTATAACAAGATTTTGTTTGTTTTAATTTATCTAGATTTCAGACATTTTGTTTGTGAACTTTTAACTTTCAGGAAAACTTTACTTAAATATATTAATTATTTGTATTGTTTTCAGCACGAAGAACTTGTTGTATTCTTAATTCAACTACGACAAAATCAGAGACAATTGTTCAAAGCACAACAACAGTGCCATTTACAGCTGGCTAAAGAACAACGCTTATTGCAAATGTATGTTGGTCAGTTTTTGTTATAATAGTGATGGTGATAATCTTACATAGTTATTAGTTAACTACAAAACTGGAAGATCTTATCATAGATCTACAAGTTTATTTTACAGGTTAGAGAATATACATTTAAATTTGATATTTTTTTGTTATATGAATAGGTAACGAAAGTCTTCTTTGATGATGTATAAAATAGGGATGTAACGGCTAATTTTTGTATCGGTCATAAAACTGATTAATGAGAATCATTTGATTATTAACAACCAATAAATTTTTAATTGGTTAATTTTTCTTATCTACACTATTCTAATATAAACTCACAACAGGCGCAGTAGTATTAATCAGTTTTTGGTTATTAATATCAATATTTAACTTTCTAGTTATGTGTGTTTTGTCTTTACAAAAACATGAAGCGCAGTATGATGAAAATGGTGATTTGAAAGAACTTCAGTTTTGATATTTTATTGTTAAGGATGCATATTTCCATCATAACTTTCAATAGCACACAGACTATATGGCTCAACTGTATCAAGTACTGACCAGTAAAGAACAAAGTACAAGAAAGAGTTAAACAACTAAGTAGCTTGAAAGTAAAATTGACAGTGTATTAACATCAGTTGTGTATTTTTCTAAGAAAACACACAAGATCAAAAACCAATTTCACACCAAAGTACAAAACCTTGTAACCCAAGGCGCTTTCAAAAAGTGAACCTTTCTTCATCGAGGACAAATTGAGGATCAGCTTGCCCCCCTGCTGAAGAAAGGTCCACCTTTTGAAGGAGCTTGTGTTATAGGTCTTTGTAGTTTTATGTAACTTGTGTATTTTTTCAGTCCAGAGAAGAGAGCAGAACCAATTGATCTAGAGTTCATAACCTGGTATTTAAAGTGAAAATACAAGCTTAATCAATTCATCGTATTTTCAGATATCATGTTGATTCAGTTGTTATGGTATAGAAGCTGTTTTACGTATCTAAGTTTCTGTGAATCTTGGTGTGATTTTAAATTTTTGTTTGTTCTGAGAGCATTTAACATCCACGTGCTAGTTTTACACTGAAACATACCCGCCAACTGTTGGTTCTCTAGGAATTCTCGTGAGAATGAACATAAAAGAAACTACATGACGCTATGTCAACAGATAGAAAAACTGCAGGAAGAAGAGAAACACATTCGTCCTCTGGTGAACTTGGTGGAAAACCTTGTGAAACTTGGAAGTTTGAAAAGTTCCACAGAAAGCAATCCTGAATCACCATCTAGACTTGTAAGCATTAACTTTGAATTTAATAAAATAGAACTTTCAGATATAGTTTTGTGTTTGAGTATATATGAGAAGTTAATTGGATATATATATAATAAAAAAAAAAAGTTGTAGGCAGTTTGTATTTTATAAAAATAATTATTTGCAAATTGTAATAAAATTTAGGTGGGTGGTCTTGATTCTTTGTGATGTTTTAGAAACATCGGTATTGTTGAAGGTAGTGAATAGTAAACTTATTATTTATAATGTGTTATATAATATAACTGTATGGCTACAGTTACATTCTTTGTTTAAGTATTAACTCAAATAGTTTTGTTAAATACATGTTTAAGTTGTGTGAGAAAATACTGAAATCCATTTGTAAAACCATAATTTAATAAACTAGAAATTTTGTCAGGCTATTGCAATGGTCACCCGAAGAAATGTAGCCATTATGTTCTAACATAAAATACCTCATGCTAATACTTTTTATAACACTTGTATATGTATGCTCTTTGCAAATGTATAAAAGAAAAGTTTATCTGATTGAGTTCATTTACAGGATAGAGTTAGGATACAGAAGTATATACCATCTGAGAAAATGTTGGAATTTGCACACCATTTGCAAGAGCGTCAAAGGTTGCGTGGTGAAATAGAAAGTATAGAAACGGCTTCTTTTGACCATGAAGGACTTGAGGTAGATGTTTTTAGTGTAATCATGGTTTTGTTTGAATATATTATCATTTTTATGTCTTTGTTTTTATTTTCTAACCATTTCTATTCTAAATCAATTAAAACTTTATAAAAATTAAATTTCTACATCAGAAATTTTCTCTCTGCAGAGACGTACTGTTTTTATATTGTTTCTTCTAAACACTTTTCAATCGACTGCCATTCCTTCATTTCTGGATGGATTGTGTTGAAATATTTTTTATTTAGGCCTTTTTTAAGGGTTTTATGGGGTTAAACAAGTCAAAAATTTATCTTTTGTGCTCCTGTGCAAACATATTTACAGCAATTGAAGTCAAAGTTGGCACAAATATAAATTTTAATGTGCACAACATATTGACAAAAAAAAATAAAGTTAGATCTGCCCATTTTAAGTCAGAGCTCACAAAAAAGCCTAATTGTAGGGTTTTTGGTAAATTACTCAGCTGTTTTTTAACCAGTTTACATGGAATTTGGTACAAAGATACTTTTCTACAAGTTCCTCATATTGACAAACAAAAATGGTGGACTTGTCTATTTTCAGTAATTATAGAGGGTCACTATGCCACACTAAGCATAATTTTAGTTTTTTTTTTTTACAGTTACTCCGCTGTATTTTGGCCAATTTACCAGGGATTTGGTACAAAGTGTTTTTTTACAGGTCCCAAACATATACTTACAAGAGTATGGGATATGTCTATTTTTGGTCATTTTAGGGGGGTGGGGTTAAAAGATTATATAAACCCATAATTGTAGGAGTTAGGGCAATTATTTAGCTTTGTTTTGACCAATTTATATGGAATTTGGTGCAAAGATACTCTTTACGGGTCCCGTACAGAGATACACACAGTTTTGGAATTTCCGTCTTTTGCTCAATTTTTCAGTGAGGAAAGTACACTTTGGGGTTTTCTTGAACTATTTGTGTATATGTCAACCAACTTACATGGGATTTGGTACAGATACCTTCTTGCAGGCCCCATGCAGTGATATAGACAGTTAAAAAAAAATTTTTTTTTTTTGCACAATTTTTCTGGTATCAAAATTGGCCATGTTGGGATTTCATGGCAGAGACTCGTTGCTTTTGCCCGAATATGTTGGCTTCTTTAATATTTTCTATTTTGGGAAGAAGATACTGCAAGAGCATTAAAAATTGGGATTGAAACAATTTAAGTGTGATTGTTAGATTAAGTGGATATTAAGAATACTACAATATTTTTAATTAAAAATTAAAATTTATAACTATTAAAGTAAATGTTTTTATATTCTTTTCCTTTTCTCGTAGTTTATTAGTTCACAATTTTTTCTGAACATCAAGCCAGTGTTAATTAAACAAGTGGGGGAAAAGTAAATTACATAACATATGATTTGGTAGTAAATTTGATTTCAGTGGTTAGCTGTTTGATTAAGAAAAATTGTTTAACAATGAAATTAACAAAAAAAGTAAGAAATATATATATATATATCTGTAGAAGACCAAATAGGTAAGCATAGAATAATTTCACAGCTGTTTATCAAAATGAAAATTTATATAAACTGGTTCAACAGTAGCAATAACTTTTAACGATTCTGTTTATATTACGAGTTTGTTTTTATAAAGCCGAGGTTATGTTTAAAATTTGGGACGGGAGTTTCTGGTGAGTTTTTGTTTTCATAGATGTACTGTCAGCCACTACTGCCATCTATAATATAATGCATCATTTTGTCTTGTATTATGCGTGTTAAGTTTTGTTTATTTTTTCAACTTAGGAAAAATTGAGTCGTCTCTATCAACTTAACTATCTGGTTCAAGAAGAGTACTCACAATTTGTCTCCATTCAGAAGGATGAAGTAGGTTTTAATGTTCTCCGGTGTTCAAACATAATCCGTAGAATACATCATTAAGAGTAGAACAAATAAAACTTGATGATAAGTTTCATACTACACTACAGTGAACGTTCTTATGATGTTACAGATTCTAGGGGTTGTAAAGTAAAATAGAAATACCCATTACAACTTTTGTTTGTGATCCTGTGTGCTAACTTCTTAATCAGAGACATACATAGCTAATGGTTTTCAAACGAGACCCAAAACTCTCCTGAAGAAAAATAGTGAACTATTCTAAAGCGCTCGAGTTTTGGGTCTCATTTGAAAACCATTACAACTTTTGTTTGTGATCCTGTGTGCTAACTTCTTAATCAGAAACATACATAGCTAATGGTATTCAAACGAGACCCAAAACTCTCCTGAAGAAAAATAGTGAACTATTCTAAAGCGCTCGAGTTTTGGGTCTCATTTGAAAACCATTACAACTTTTGTTTGTGATCCTGTGTGCTAACTTCTTAATCAGAAACATACATAGCTAATGGTATTCAAACGAGACCCAAAACTCTCCTGAAGAAAAATAGTGAACTATTCTAAAGCGCTCGAGTTTTGGGTCTCATTTGAAAACCATTACAACTTTTGTTTGTGATCCTGTGTGCTAACTTCTTAATCAGAAACATACATTTAGGTTT